GAAAAAGAAGCATGGCATAGAAGGAGTATTTACAGCCAGATAGTAATTGTTGTTGTGAGGTACCACTGCGTGAACTATGACTCATCATGACCATCCTCCTCATCCCCGGTGGGCTGGAGCCCGTTAGTATAACAATCACTACACCAGTCCGTTTTGTTGGGGGTTTTCTTCACTTTCTCTAACCCTCCGTCTTTCCTGGCATGACGTCCTTTTCCAAAGACTGGCCTTTCCTGACAACCTGCCCAGAGGATGTGAGATCAGGTGTCACCAGCCTTGCCTCTAGGGCACATTCTAGCCACACTTCCTCCAAGACCGACTTGCTTGTTCTTTTGGAAGTCCGTAGAATACTCAGCACTTTTCTCCAACACCACAACTCAACTCAAAGGTATTGATTCTTCTGTCATCCTGACTCACTGTCCAACTTCCTTTTTTTGCCACTCTTTAATTTATAAGGTTTATTATTATTATTAATTTTAATGAAAATTTACAGAGACTTTGGATTTCCATTCATTCACTGTTGCACTTTTCTCCCTGTCCACCCCTCCCCTCCAGTTTGTTTTTCTCTTTGAAAAATAAAAGAAAAATATTTTCATTGTTATACAATCCCTCCCCCCCCCCATTGTCCAACTTTCAGGTGCACAGGATGTAATTGAAAAGAACATGGCTGAATGGAAATCCAAAGTCTCTGTAAACGTTCATGAAAATTAATTTTAAAAAAAGGACACAGCTTTGAGCAGGTGCACCTTAGTCTTTACACTGACATTGTTGCTCGTTAGCACTTTGGAAGGTCCTTGACAGCAGATTTTCCCAAGGCAGCACATCTTTTGGTTTCTTGACAGCTGTTACCATCAGTGCTAATTGTGAATCCAAGGAAAATGAAATCTTTGGCAATGTCAATTAAACTCTATCTATCCTGATGATCCATCTATTGATTCAGGGGTGAGGAATCTTGTTTTATTGATATTGAGACATAATCCATATGGAAAGCTGTAGTGTTTGATTTTCTGCAGCAACTGTTTCAAATCTTCATTTTTAGCAAGCATGGTTTGTGTCATCTGCATAGTGCAGGTTCCGGATGAGTCTTCCTTAATCCCGATGTCACATTCTACTTCATATAGTCCAGAGAATTAATGATTTGCTCAGCATGCAAATTGAACAGGTAGGGAGAACTGATACAATACCGACGTGCACCCTTCCTGATTTTAAACCATGCAGTGTTTCTGTCTGGACAACAGTTTCTTGGTCTAGGTCTAGGTTTCACAAGAGCTCAATTAAGCGTTTCTGGGAGTCATCATATAGTAAGCATGGAGCTAATTTAACTTCATTCTTTATAACAATATAACTTGAGGTGAGTTTTATTACCCCAACTTATACTTCTAGAAACTGAAATCCAGGGAGGTGAAATACGTATCCCAAGCCCATTTATGAAGTAAATGGGAGCTTGGTTTTAGCTCTACCAACTAATAGTATGGAGATGTAGCCCAATAATACATTCTCTATATTTGGATAACAAGTGCTGATTGGTTTACGACTGTGAGAAACATGAAAAGTGAGGGGCGGGTGTGTCTTGTGTCCAAGTTAACACATGACTTTGGTTGCCTTCAAGTTGGAGCTGACACGTATCTGACCTTATGGTGGGTTTTCAGAGGCTGAAAATAGTACAGGAAGAGACTGTTTATCTTTTTCCTTGAGAAGTTGCTGGTGGATTTGAACCTGCCACCTTTAGGTTAGCAGTGCAACTCTTTATAGACTGTGCCACCAGGAATGTATTACTTAGTCAGGTCTCTTGAGTCAGGAAGGGCATCAGTAGAGGTAGGAATGACTGAGAAGCACTGCTCTGTATTGCTGTTTGAGGAGCACAGCAGCAAGGCACGCTGAAAGCTTGGCCAGTGGGAGGCACGCTGTGCGCAGCCAGAGGGGCCTGAACAGGCATGGGTGCAGGCAGTGCACAGGGAAAGCATACTCTTTAGAACCTCCAAATTGATGGGGAATTTCGGAGTGATCTCTGTCCTCCTTATATAACTCTTACTTTTCATTGTAGGTTTCTCAACCTTGCCCTTGTCCCCAGGACAAGTCTGCATCAAGTTTCGAAACAGACAAATGCCTAAGTTAAGAAATCCACAAAACTCCTGTCCAAAAAACATTACTTCCTCCCATCACTTGTGGAATCTGACACCTAACTAATTCTCCTTCTTTCGAGAGGCCTAATGGGTAAGGAGCTTCACTGCCAACGCAAAGGCAGGCGAATCCACCAGCTGCTCTGTGGGAGTAAGATGGGCAATATCCTCCCTTGTGATTCCTAGCTTCTGAAAACCCACTGGTGGGATTTCACGGATTCACTGGTCCATGAGTCGGCTCTGACTCGATGGCAATGAGTTAGTGAGCGAGCATTTGGAGGCTGGGAGTCTCCAGGTGGTGCAGGGGGTTAACACACCTGGCTGATAACTGAAAGGTTGGCAGTTGGGAGTCCACCGGAGCCTCCCAGAGGGGCCTGTCCAGAAAATCCTGGCAATCTATTTAAGACACAGCCATTCAATGGGGCAGCACTGCTCTACAGTGACACACATGGGGTCACTGTGCGTGGTGGCTGACTTGATGACAACAGTTACAGCTTCTTTTTTGAGAGGGGAGAGTGATGTGTGAGGAAAAAGAATATTGGGACATTTCCTTATTAGCAAGATCTAAGCAAATCATAGAAACCTGTAGGGCAGTCAGAGTGGGCAGCATGAAAGCAGGGTGCATGAGCTCCCTCCAACCACAGGGCCAACAGTGGCTCCTTAGCTCCAGCCGAGGGACCCTAACTTCTGGAATCTGCTGTAATCCAGACTCCTTCCTCCTCCCCAGAAAGTTGCTGTTGTTATGTGTTGTGAACCGACTCACCCTCCAGTGGGTTTTCAGAGTTTGTAAACCACACTGGAGAAGACTGCTCATTATTTCTTCTGTGGTGCGACCTGGGGATTCGAACTGTGTACCTTTGAGTTGGCAACATAGCTCTGTACCACCAAGTCATCAGAATACCAGCTTTATATCATGCTGCATTGAAAAACAAGGAACTCATGAACTATTGAAAATGGATGACCCTGGAGGACATAATGCTGAGTGAAATATCTCAGTCACAAAAGGACAAATACTGCATAGTGCCACTGTTGTAAAACGGGACTCACATAGGGGTTAGGGGAGACTGAGAAAGATGGGATAAATTATGTCTACTTCATTGAAACAGATGAGAGAGAGAACTGTTTAAAAGGTATATATGATTAGGTATTATTGTCATGACAGGAGTCCAGAACAAAGGCTGCATAGTGGAGTGGACTTGAGGGGAGGGATTGTATAACAATGAAAGAATTTTTCTTTTACCTTTCAAAGAAAAGAATGAACTGGAGGGGAGGCGTGGACAGGGAGAAAAGTGCAATAATGAATGAATGGAATTCCAAAATCTCTGTAAATTTTCATTAAAATTATTAATAATAAAAAAATACTAAACACATGGGGAAAATGTTGCATCCTGTTTATATTTCTTAATAGGCTGAGTTCCCAGTTTGCCACATCAGGCCTAGATCTTCTTGAATTTGGGACATCTTGGGGAAAAAGTGGATTCTGAGCAGAGAGTTTTGGCTGCAGAGAGTAGATGAAGAAGTTGGAGTATTAAGTGTAGGTTATGGGGAGTCCCTGCTGCTACCTCATGGTGGGCGCCCAAGAGTCATAAGGGAGACAGGCTATAGCAACCCTAACGTCTGCTGTGATCCCAGCCGCCTGGTCGACCCCATCCCGGAGCTGGGCAGAACTTGGGTTTCTCTCTGCCCTAGTTGGTCCCTTCCCATTAACATTCCAGGAATGCTATTGTGAGGGGTTTGAAAAAGCATCCCTAGTTACACGGAATGATTTACACGACACCAGCCTCTGCATTTCAGAGGTCTCCAGTGAACCATAAAAAATATATTATAAAGGAATAATCTTTATCTGAACTGAAGCCGCAGTAAAGCAAACCCATGTCCAGCTGAGAGCAGCAGTGAGCTTCTGTTCATTCAGGAAAAGTCTGTGTTCTTCATGGGATTTGATTAACATTTTTCCCCTCTTCAGCACTAGGTAAGTAGTTACTATTTAGACTTTACATACATCTCCCTCCCCTTGCCCCCCAGCTGTGGTTCCTATCATGTGTTCAAACACCAAGAATTCCCACCGCGTCCACCTTTGCAAGCTGGCAGAGCACTGTGACCTGGTAGGCACCTAACAGAGGGTTGCCTGGTAAACTGGGGCTCATGGAGCTGGGAGGGAGAACCGGCTGTCCCCATCTCCGGGAAGCCGTTTCCTGGAGTGCCTCCGTTGATTATATGGGCTCCTCGCGTCTCTTACCTCCCCAAGCAAAAGGCAACAGAAAGCACAGTCTAGTTTAGTTTTAAATCTTGCAAATCCTTCAGATGTTTACCGTTTCCCCCCCAAGGGAGAGAGAAGTGAGGGATGGCATTGCTCTGTAAAGAAAATACCGTAAAAGGAAAAAAAAAAAAATCAGCGAGACTTTGCACAGACACTCTGCGACCCTGCTTGTTTCTGATGGTTAGATCTTTAGGGTCCAGAGAAACCTCAGCTGCTGTGGCGGCGATGCTGAAGGGACACAGGTGTGTGTGCACTTGTGACTGAGGAGGTCTAGGAGGGAGGAGCCTCACCTCTTGCAGAAGAAAAGCACAGACAGAGGCAAAGCTGCCCGGGCAGGTGCACTAGGGCTTTGGTGGCAAAGCACCACTCTCCAAGGGCTTCAAGATAAGGTGAGGAGACTGGAAAGGAAGACGTGAAAAGAAAGATCCCCGCACACCAGAGACCAGAGGCAGGGCTCTAAGCGAGGAAGAGCAAAGGCAGGTCAGGGGGGGACCGAGCTTCCCGAGTCCCCGGGGAAAAGGGGAGACGCAGGGGCTCCTCACCCACTAGCCCTAAGTTCCCGAGAGCGCGGAGGCATCAGTGGCTGGTATTGGGGTTGAATGAACCTGAAAGTATTAGGGGATGCAATGGGCGTCCCAGGCCCTCCTGGGGAGGGGAAGCACCTGAGGCTGGGCAGGGAACCCCTCCAGCACTGAAGGGCAGGATCTGGGATCTCCTGGGGGCCCCGGCGCCAGAGCACGCCCCCGCCACCCTCCCCCCCGCAGGCGCGAGCGAGGCGCACCCCCTCCCTGAGCGACGGCGGGCGCGCGCGCGGCCCCTTCTCCTCCCCTCGGCGCGCCTCCTCTCTCCAGGCAGAAAGTTAGCAGCGGGGAAGGAACTCCGGGCCGGAGCCACGCGCGGCGGCGGCGGCGGCAGAGGCTGGACCCCGAGCGGCGGCGGCCCGGGAGCGGGGGCTCTGCGGACGGAGCAGGTGCAGCCGGCGGCCCCGCGC